ATGTACGTTTTTGGTACAAATAAATAACACGGCAGTACAAAAAGATAACACGGCTAAGTGAAAAGAGGAAGCGAACTCGCTGTGAACCGCGGCTGGCATGTGACGCTCACAGTCAAGCTCATTTGTGGACACTGACCAGCTGCTGTTGCTACTGCATGACAAACTGTTATCGGAGTTGTTTAGTGCTTCCGTGCCACACAGATTTGTGCGATGTATTATTTATTCAGCCCGATATTACCACAAATTCGAAAGGTATGGAAGATTTCGAGAAGTTCTTCAATGTAACACTCTACTCAACACGTAATCAAGTGTCACCCATACTAATGAATCAGGATGAAAGCGTCCTAAAACAGCTCATATACCAATTCCAGTACCGCCGATGATCTGGGAGTCATTCTATTATTTACGCATAGACTGGGTTGCTTACAGAAAGTTTCGAGAGGTTTTTCTGACACAAATCGTTCTCTGAAAGCACAACTTTTGGCAGAAGTCGGTTAACAGCTCCTTTCGGTCTGTAGGCTAGAGCCCTGAAGGACCATCACAAATGTGGTACTCCGGTGCTCAGATGTCGCCCGAAGGACCTTGCAATGTCGACTCTCTGCCTTATACTCTCCTCTCCAGCCTTTCGTTGCCTTAATTTAGCCGCATTACGAAGGTGTATTAGCTCCCAATTAAATGAATCCTTCTCGGAAAAATCATGATTCTATCTCACAGATAAATCACTGGATGGAGACTCAACGAAAAGAACAAGAACTGTTTCACAAGGCGAACTGCGGCTAAAAACAGCAGTTAACAAACAAAAACAAGTCAAAAAAGAACAAGAACTTGTGTCTGTTTTGGTAAGCTATTCGAAAACCGGGAGGATTGCTACGGGTTCAAATTCCGCCGGACGTCTTTCACAAATGCTGGCGCTCCCACATGTTCACGGAGTGATGTCATCAGAAACTTTTGATCTTTCGACTCATCGCACTAACACATCATACTTCTGCGGCATCCTATTTACCGAGCGTTTTGTCCAATTTTCCAAAATCGAACGTTTCAACCCAATTCTTTCAATGAGTCGCCTGATACGTGAGTGGCAGAAGTGCACTTTCCATGCCACGCCTTTTACGTCGCGCGAATTACCTTCAGCTCTCCATAGAGTGTGGTTTCGTATGTTTGTTTCTCTTCGGAAACTGAATCTTCCTGCGTGAAACTTTGTGTGTTTTCTCTAGTGATCACAACTGACATACTCTAGTTGGAAAAGAATGCGAGAATTTCCCATGAAGAATTTCTTTAAGCGTTTTCGACTGGTTTTTTACTTTCA